TTTTTTTTAAATTTTAAATTTATTTTCATGATTGTCTATTATTTTTCTTTCCCCGTCTCCTCAATTACTACAGGGAGCCCAATATTGATGGTAGATTTTTAAATTTTTCTGGTTTCTTCAAAATTACAGGAAATGGAACCCCACATGCCTCTGTATAGTCGTATCCCATGGTACCTTCTCTCAGGAGCCACTGTGACATTTTGGGTAAATATTTACTTAAAAGCCTTGATTGTCTTTTTAACATATTTTCATATTTGATTAATTTAACCATTTGCTCTCACCAATGATTCATCCTGATTTTTCTCAGTCCATTTTCCCTGCTTATACTTTTTATATAAATTAACAACATAGATTCACCTAAATTGAGCCTTGGGAAAAGGTGAAAGGAGCAGAGAGAGGTTTGAAAAAGAAAAAAAACAAGCCCATTTCCCCCCCTTTCTAATCCTACAATGTGGATTACATCTCAACATCAATAAAACCAAGATCCTCACCACGGGGCCAATAGGCAACATCATGAAAGATGGAGAAAAGATTCAAGTTGTCAAGGTTTTTATCTTGCTTGGATCCACAGTCAACACATTTAGTACCAGCAGTCAAAAAATCAGAAGACATGTTGTATTGGCAAAGTCTGCTGTCAGGGACCTCCCCAAAAGTAATGATGTCAGCTTAAAAAGTATAGTGTGCCTGATTCAAGCCATAGTCTTTTCAGTTACCTGCCTTGCATATGGGAGCTGTACAGTGAATAATGCTGACAGAAGAAGATTGAAGCATTTGATTTGTGGTGTTGGGGAAGAGGACTGAATAACCCCAGGAAATTCCAAAAGAACAAACACATACATCTTGGAGAAAGTATTTCCAGAGTGTTCATTAGAGACAAGGATAATGAAACTTCATCTCACATACTTTGTGCATGTTATTAGGAGAGGCCATTCTTTGGAAAATTATACCATGTTTGGGAAGGTGGAGGGTCGGCGAAAGAGAGGAAGACCCTCAAGAGTATGAATTGATACAGTGGCTGTAGCTATGGGATCAGAAGCGATAAGGGTGACACAGGATAGGGCAGGGTTCAGATCTGTTGTTCATAGGATCACTATAGGTCATATCTGACTCAATGAGACTTAACAACAACAGTCTTCCTGTCATCATTTCCTAACCTGAAACTAGAACACATTAACAAACCTACATTGACTGCAGGACTTTAGTTAGGTTTTCACCATTAATTTATCTTTATCTCCATGCTAAACAACTGCAAAAATGAAGCAGTCTGTATTATTGAGGTTCATTCTTTGGTTCAATTTATTCTATAAAGTTTCTTTTTAAAAGTAAAAGAACATAATTAGCATAGTTCTGGAGGGTCAGCTATGGATCGGTGCCAACAGTACATAACAGCAACAACATTGCTAAAGAGTCAAGTTTTCTCTGTGTCTTTAATGAGTAGATTCCTCTGTCACCATAATCTGTTTCCTAACTCCCTCTTTCCACATGTGTGCCCTCTAATAGTTGGCTTGTAATTTTAATAAGAGGTGCAGTGTTACCTAGGAATGGTTAGTAGAGTGAACTGGAATTTGTTAGCAATTGTAAGCTAGAGCATTATCTCATTACTCCATATTCTTCCATAATTTTGCATTTTAATATTGCTTGATAAATTATGACTTTTTTATTTGCTATTTTAGACATTTGTTTTTTAATTGATATAACAATTATTGAAGAAATATCGATGGTAAAAATGATAGGGGAGAAGTCATCAATCTGGAATACTCCTTGGAAAGCATCCTAAACTGTGGTCTGATTAGTCTGTTTTGGTTTTCTTCTACTTACTAAGTCACAGTCACTGTCTCAGCTTCAGAATAAAATTCTCCGGGCATTGATTTAGAGTATATCAATGATTGACCTTCCCTAGGTTTTCCAGGTTTTGCAAAATGGGAAATGTACATAATTTTTGTGGAGGCTATACATATATATACCTGAACTCCCAGCCATATCAAACCACTTAAGGCACTATTTTCAGAATATGTGAAATATCCTTTTAAAATTTATAATTCTTGAAAAATGAGTCATCTTGACGTGATTTGTTTAACTTTAACCTAGTTCAGAAACGTACAAATCGTTTGTGTAAATGGTCAGATGTATTTTAGCATTTGTGGACCTTTTATCATTTGTGGCACATATTCTTCTTTACAACACTGAAAATGTATCCTTAACTAACAGGTCACACAAAACCAGGTCACAGGCAGCATGTGGCCTCTGCCTTCACACAGTTCACCAAGCCCTAATGAAAGATGTGTCTAGTGGTGGTCACGGTGGTAGGTGCCCGTGAGTCTGTTCTTACTTATAGAAGCTCTATGAACAGCAGACTGAACTGGCACTTTTCTTGATCCTGTACCATCCTCACAGTCTCCACCAGGCTCATGCCCATTTTTGCAATCACTGGGTCATCCTTGACTCTACAGTTCACCCTGGTTGCATTTCCTCCAAGACCAATTTGTTTATTCTTTTGACAGTCGTGGTGTATTCAATACTCTGCACCAATACCACATTTCAAAGGCATCAGTTCTTAATTATTTTCCAGCATTCACAGGAATATGAAGCAGTTGAAAATGCCATGGCTTAGGTTAGGTGCACCCTAATCTTTAAAAACAGATTTGCCCAATGCATCATGCCTTTTGATTTTTTTTTTCACTGCTGATACCCTGGGCATTGATTGTGGATCTAAATAAAAATCAAATCATTAGAAATGAATAGTTTTCTATTTTAAACTTAAGCCCTTTATAACGATATTACCTCATCTCTAATCCTGGTACATTGCCAGTGGCTAGTTCCTCTCAGCAGTGGTGACAGATACTGACATGATTTGCTTTGCTAAGTTTATTATGGGATGAAGACCGTAGCATGTAACGTTTCCGATAGATAATCATCACAGAAGTCCGAGGACCAACATAAACACTCATTTCCCTTCCTCAGATGTCTCTTGTTGTCGCCTGTATGGTAGCTGTGATTGTGTACCGCCTGTCGGTCTATGCTACATTTGCTACCCTAATGGAATCTGAAAAAACTTTAGAGCCTGTCCGAAGTATCCTTACTCCTCAGCTGACCACATCACTCACAGGATCATGCTTGAACTTTATTGTCATCTTAATCTTGAATTTCTTTTATGAAAAGATATCTGCCTGGATCACAAAAATGGGTAAGCTGGCTATAGTGGATTTTATTGTATCACCTTTAAAAGAAGTTTTCAGATGTTAATACCTGGTGCTTACAACTGTGACTTTTTGTTTTGAAAATGGGATTTTTGTAATTGTAATTAAATTAGGGTGAAGTGACACTGGATCAGAGTGATTAGTGTAAAAGGAGAGATTATTTGTATACAGAGGCAGACACAAAAGGAGGGAGACCATGTAATTACAGTATAAAAAATGTACATGACGATACTTACCCTCCAGCCAAGGATTGCCGACATCCATCAGAAACGATGCGAGAAGCATGAAATGCACTCTTCCCCTAGAGCTTTGTAGGAAGCATGGCCCTGAGATGTGAGAAAATAAGTTTGTGTTGTTGTAAGCTGCCAGATTTGTGGTGATTTGTCCTGCCATAGTAGTGTTCTTCTATACTGGTCACTTCACCATGGCAACTCTGAAGTATTATTTCTCCTCGTGTTCCATACCCATGTGAAATCATCTCTCAGGGAATATATTTTCAAAGGGCATATTTTAAGGTATTTTTGCTTTGTATGTATCCCATGTCCTAGTAAATCATTCTGCTTCCGTATCATGAAAGTGGGAAGAAAAAAATAAAAAGTATTAGGACTCTGTATATCTTTTTCTCAGTTTTGTTAGGTTAATCTTCCTTTGGTAGAATTGAATCCTCGGCTAAGATCCTCATTTTTCTCATAATAATCATGTATTTATTTAGTTTATGTGCTTTAAATACCTTAGAAAATTTATTTAATTTTGGAAATTTCCTGAAAAAAAATTTCATGACAATATAATCAGCTCTTTTCAAACAAGTCAATTAAGTTGCCAGCTCTTAGAAACTGGATTATTTTTATACAGTAAAATATCTCCTAAACCAGGCGGGGAAATGAGGAGACTCATAGAAGAAGTCGTTGATTCAGTCAGAAAGTTAGAGCACTGACCACAGTTGCTTCTGGTCTTTTCACTAGCACGTGGGAAACAGAATTAGCGACTCCTCTTGGAACATCAGCCTGCTCTGAGTGCTGTCTCCCAGAGCCCATGGTCCTGTCCCCCTTCAAATGTGCACACTGGCATTGTCTCCCATGGCAACAATAAAGAGCATTTTATTTACTCAGTACTTGAGGGAACACTAAGAAGGAAATCTCTTTAAATGCTGTCTTGGAATTTGTTTTTGTTCTATTTCAAGATTATATCCTTTTTTCTGCTAGCACAGAAAAAACATCATAGCAGATAAAATGTGTTCAAAAACGTGACAAATTTCTTAAATGAGAACAATCACTTGGGATCACATTAGACGTTATATAGAAATAACAACTAAATTGCACTTCAAAAAGGAGGACTTCTCTTTGGTTTCTCAGTCTGAAGAAACAAACAAATGAAAAAGCACCAAGAATCTAGTATCACAAAATGACATTATAAGGCAAAACAGCATTGTCAGAATAGGGCTTTCAAAGCTGTAAATCTTTCTGTGTTCTCCTGTCGGGCTGTTGGTGAGTTCAAATCACCAGTCTTTCATTCGCAGCTGAGCACTAAACCACGGTGCCAGCAGAATGCTTCTGGCTGTCTTTAGGAGACTATTGTTTATGGGTTCTGTATTTCTGCAGATGCCTTGGATTAGCTTGGATACCCTGGGGAGATTATCAGCTCACAACCTACAATCCCTTAGTCCTTTATATCTTAAGATTCTATATTGTGTTGCAAAGACTAACTGTATTTCCTTTTCTCTGGAATTCTTTACATAATGGATCATGATCATACATTTTAAATAAAGGGAAGATGTGTAAAATTACTGTCACCATTTGACATTACACTCTTTTCGATATTAGTCTAGTTACACATGAGAGGAAAATGCATGGGCTTTATTTGTTTAAACTGAATGGAAAGCACAACAAAGAAGTATTTTACCTATTTGCAGGTGACCACATAGTTTATTGAGTTGAAAGTAGCCCTTTTCACCCTACATGAAATTGAATTCACTTTCCTAAATTTCCAAACTCAGGCAAGTACTTTACCCCTCTAAATAATGTTTCTTTCCTGTGCTTTGCCAATAATTAATTTAAGGCAAAGTGTCTAGTGAAAGTCTAGCATAAGTCCATAGCTGTTTAATATTTGTGAACTGTATCCAGTGTGGGGAACATTCAGAACGTAGAATAAAATACTCACTTGCTCCAGGGAGAAAAAGTAAAAAAAAAACAAATAACATTAAACAGTTTTTTTTCTTTTTTACCAGAAATCCCTCGAACTTATCAGGAATATGAAAGCAGTCTTACCTTGAAAATGTTCCTATTTCAGTTTGTAAACTACTATTCCTCCATCTTCTATGTGGCTTTCTTTAAAGGGAAGCTCGTGGGCTATCCTGGAAAATACACATACATGTTTAACATTTGGAGAAGTGAAGAGGTAAGAAGTCTCATGATTGCTACTAGCCTTTGTGGCTTCAATAACTAAATGTTGACTAACTAGCTTCCCTGTACCCAGCCATGTCCCACATGTTAACAAGATCCAGAAGAAGTCTGCACAGAGCTTTTTGTTGTATCCTGTTGAGTCACAGGCGACCCATAGCTGACCCTCCAACAGATTTTCAGAGGCTGCAAATCGCATGGGAGGAGTTGCTCTTCTTTCTTCCATGGGGAAGCTGGTGGATTCAAACTGTGCACCTTTGCGTTGACAGTGCAATTCTTTACCACCTTGGAATGTTGTGGTTTGGTAGATTTGGCGTCTGAGCCAGATGTTATATCGTGCCTGCCATGTAGCTGTAAAACATGAGTTGTGAAGTAGGATGAGTATCTTTGTCTTGGAAAAATTCCTACAAAGGCATGTTGGGGAACTATACAGAGTGGGCTTTGTTATGAGGGGTTTGTTGAGCCAGATCAATGGTTTCCAAATTTGGCTGTGTATGTAAATCACATAGAAAAAATAACAATCCTCAAACTAAACAAAGATATGAAGATCAGTTTTTTTATTCTTAAGTATAAGACCCAGAAATCTATATTAGCATATTTCCCAGTAGGCCTGGCACTGATCCATGATCATATTTGCACTTAGTAGGCTAAATTCTTTTAAATATCCTTTTCGAGCAAAGTTTTGAGATTCTAACCAATAGACTGAGGTTTCTCTTAGTGGTTGTTAATGTTTCTCTTTCATCGTCACTTCTCTCCCTTCCCTCTTGCTTCTGTAGTGTGACCCTGCAGGGTGCCTAATAGAACTGACAACTCAATTGACCATCATAATGTTTGGGAAGCAGCTGTTTGGAAACATCAAAGAAGCTGTTTATCCGTATGTATCAATTAGGATTTTTTTTGTTTGGTATTAAATAATCAGGATAGATTTCATCTGGATGGAGATAAATGTCCTTGGTTAGCATGGTGCTTTTGGAGCAAATGATTAAGCACACCCCCCTAAAAAAAAGCTTTACTTTCAATCAGTAATTAGGGATGCATGAAAGTAATATAGACTTTTCCCGGTGAAATAATGCATTTGATTGTTTCTTCCACAGGAGTTGATTATGGATCCAGGTTAAGCAAAATTATTCACAATGTGATGCTTTTCTAAACAAATAAACAACAAACAACAAAATGTTGTTTTTTGATCCAGTTGTGAGGATTTTATATATGTTGAGGTGTAATACAACCATTTTCTTTTAGAGCTCAAATTTATTCTCTTTTCTAAGTACTATTAAACCTCAACTTACTTACAGCTGACCTTTCAGCAGGTTTTCAGAGGCAGTTAATCACACGAAAGGAGATTGCCCATCCTTTTACCCACAGAGCACCTGGTAGATTCAAACTGCATTAACTTTGGAATTGCAGCATAGATTCTTACTAGTAGGCTACCAGAGCTCAGTAAACTTAATATAGGAAAAAATTACTTCCAACAGTGACCTCCGACTCCCATAAGTAGAACGCTCTGAGTAAATATATTTCTGTTGGGGAAATGGTATTATTTTATTAACTATCCTAATAAAGAATATTTGACTACAGTATGTGCCGTAAAGAGGATGTTAGATTTTGCTTCAGTGCTGTTTTTGGGTGCCATTGATATAACAGAAGACATCATTGCTTTGTCTTCCACAATTAATACTATGTTTGAGCCCAGTAGCACCACTATGTTAAGATAGCACAGTGAAATTCTTCTTTTTGTTGATGCTTTCATTTAGCAAGTTTTATATCCTTCTCCAGGGACTGGCACCTCAAGATTACGTGTTTAAAGTATGTGTTATGAACTCTTAGCTTTCTCACTTTCAAGGGTATTCCATCTACATGTTGTTGTTAGGGGCTGTTGAGTATGACCTATGGAGACCCTGTGAACCCTGCCCTATCCTGTCATCTCTATCCTCTCTGACGTTCGTGAGCCCTTTAGTGCAGTCACTAGGTCAGTCGATCTGGTGGAAGGTCTTCTTTTTCACTGGTCTCCACTTGGTCTCCACTAGCTCCTCCTAACTACATTCTTGAAGTATGTGAGCTGAGGCTTTACCGTCCTCGCCTCTAAGGAGAACTCTGACTGCACTTTTGCTAAGACATGTCTGTTTGTTCTTTGATAAGCCATAGGATAGTCAGTATTCTTCTCTAACACTACAACTCAAAGTTAGGGATTTTGCCATCTTTATTCATTGTCCAGGTCTCTGATGCATAGTAATTGAAAATTATAGAACTAAAAATCAGTCATAACATAAACTTTGAATTGGCGTCATTAAAATTGTCAGTTAACTTCTCTGATTACAGTTATTAAATATTTTGTTGTTGTTTATTGTTGAGTACCTTTGAGTCAGAACTGACTCTTAACTGACCTTCCAGTGGATTTTCAGAGGCAGCAAATCTCATGAGAGGAGATTGTCCATCTTTTTCCCACAGAGCAGGTGATAGATTTGAACTGTGTGTTTTCAGCATTGCAGCACAGCTTTCTCTAATTCTATTTTATATTGTTGTTATTATGTGTTTTTGAGTCGACTGGTATTCATAGCGACCTTGAGTTTGATTGTTCTGAACCCTGCCCTATCCTGAGTCAGTCTCACTGCCTCCAACATACCTACCCTCATTACATCAGTTACTATGTAAATTTATCTCAATCAGGGTCTCCCTCTCCTGCATTGTCCATCCACCCTTCCAAGCATGGTGTCCTCCAAGGACTGGTTCCTCCTAGCACCGTGCTGAAAGTATGTCAGTTAGAGCTCCAAAATCCTTGCCTCCAAGAAGAAACTTGGTTTGACCCTCTCCGGGGCAGACCTGTTAGTTCTATTGGCAGTCCATGGTATGTTCAATGTTTTTATCAGCACTCAAAGGTATCTATTTTTCTTCCATTGCGCTTAGTCATTGTCCAGCTCTCTGATATTTGCAAAGACCATGGCCTGGATCAAGTGGACCTTAGTCTCTAAATTGACACATACTTATTTCTTTTACTTCCAACAGCCTTATTTTGAATTGGTGGAGACGTCGAAAAACTCGGACCAACTCTGAGAAATTATATAGTCGATGGGAGCAGGATCATGACCTGGAATCCTTTGACAACCTTTGTCTGTTCTATGAGTACTTAGAAACAGGTAATTTTCATTCACTTCCCTGAAGAGAAGCTAAGTAAATATTTGCTTTTCAATTTTTAATTTGAATGACTTTGTGCTTTACATATAGTTGTTGTTGTTGTTGTTGTTGTTGTTAAATGCTGTCAAGTTATTGATGACTCATTGGTTGATGAAAAGATAGATGTATCAATATGGAGAAGATTGATTCACTTTTCTCCTGCCCCATTACACAATGATAGGATGAAGTGTAATTACAACATATGAGTAGAGTGAATGTTAGAAATTGAATCTTGATATTGTTGAACTAAATAAGTTTTCCATTTTAACACCTGTCTCAAATTGTTTAATAGCTTTTTTACCTTTAGTTTACCTCTCTGATTAGCTGAGTGTGATGATTTATTGAAGAGCAGGTTGTCTCCAGTAACTTTAACAATGACACCTACTCTTCCATTTTTGATTCTTGGGCTGGCATTTCCCTGATTGACCACTTTTCTTAGTGATTCCTAGTAAGACAATTAATTTGTTTTTGTTGTTATGTGCCATCAAGTCGCTTGTGACTCATAGCGACCCTATGTACAAGAGCCCTAAACTCCGTTCTATCCTGTGCCAACCTTGCTGTCTCAAACACGCTCATTCCCACCACTCCAGTCACAGAATC